CATATATCCTCTGCCATTATAATTTATTCTTATTTCACATATTCATCATATGACATAAGATATGTCATTCTTTTTCTTTCTAAAGAGGAAAATTGTCTCTATTATAAAGTGTAAATAAACATGTAATCTCTTGTAATGTGTCTTATTATAATTTCGATCTGTCTTATTATTCTAGCTTCACTTACTTTAAGAGTTTTACTGAGTAGAAGAGTAACTTCACCAACAGCTTAGCATCTTTCTACGTAAGAGTTCCACCTAAGGAAAGGGGCAACTGTCAAGTAACAATTTCTGAATGGGCTTCCCATTCCCTGTTAGAACATCAGGTTTTTAGATTCAGGACTGTGAAAAGCAGGAGACTTGAAATATCTCAAAGCTGAATTTCATCTGAAGCTATTACTAATTCCTCAAACATTTTATTTTACTCACCAGCACAGGAAATGAACAATTTGATTTTGTGCCTTCTAAGCACATTCACTTCAACCAGATAAAAACGCTACAGCCAGAAACTTTTAGAGACCTTCTGAAATTAGAGTTATTCTAAGTGTTGACTCTTTAGATGTCCTTTGCTTCTACTTTCTACTTTACATTTTTCTATTTATACAACATATAAAATGCCCTGGAGATCAGGATATTTTGTTGTAAACCTAAGATGCAGAGCCTATACCTTTGTTCTATAAAATAGAGTTAATATAAGACATTTTACAGTTTGAAATCAATGGGGAAATGAATAACCCAATTAAAAATAGGGTAAAAAGATGAATAACACTTTGAAAATGAGGTAAAACCACTTTGAAAAAATTATGGCAGAAACTATTACAATCGAACATACATATTCTCATGAGTTCCACTTCTAGTTATAGACAGAAGAGAAATGCCCATGTGTGTGCACCAGAAGATGCATTCTTGAGTGTTTATGGCAGCATCACTTCTAATAGCTCCCGCTGGAAACTACTCAAGCATCCAACAACAAAAGAAAATAGAAATAAGTCATTATACATTCATAGAATATATACAACAACATAGATGAATCTCAGAAACATTTGAACAACAATAAAAAATCCCAAACACTGAAAATTGTATAATTTGATTTTGTTTTTAGAAGATATTTAAAAACAGATAGCAGAAATATATATAGTATTTAGAAGGTAGACAGTGTTTACCTTTGGAGAGAAAAAGGTGATTGAGAATGGCAGAAGGGAGTTTCTACAGTCCTAGCAATGTTTTGTCTTTTTTTTTTTTTTTCCCCCGTGGGTGGTAATTACACAGATGTCTTCACTTTTGGAAAAGTCATTGTCCTCTATATAATGATGTGTGCATTTTTCAGGTTAAATGTTATATTTCAATAAAACTTTATTAAACATCAATGGCAAACCAAGGGAATACTTGAAACCTCCTTTGCTTTGTCTTCTATAGATGAAGATACTCTGCTACTTCATTTTCTTTAATACTTAATACTAACAAATTTATTGTTTCTTTAGCTGAAGATATGGTACTTTCCTGATTAAAAAAAAAAAAAGAAAATGCAGAATTACATAGCTAAACATAATTAGGATTCGATATTCTCAAACAAATCTGAATTGAAAGATTATAGTTTCCAAAAGGATGCCCTTTAATATTAATACATAGACTAGACCAGTAAAATTAAAAGGTAAAGAAAGCTAGTCAGCCATTGTGTTGCTGCAGATTCAAGGTTCCAAGGTAAGGGCTATAAAGCTCAGGCAGTTGGAAGTCAATGCAGGAAGCCATAGGCAACTGTGACATAGCTCTTTATTTCAGCAAGGGCACAGCCAGCCTCGCAGGGCAGTGGAGCCTTTTATACACAGGTTAAACAATAGTGCCACACTGCCAGAAGCCCGCGCATGAGTACCGGGCACATGATTATATAAGGGGAGAAATGCTGACTCACTTCCACTAGGAAGTTAGCTGCCAGTGGTGTCAGGAGGGACCTTGACTGCAGCCATCTTTCTTTCTCCTCACAGCCACTTTCCCCTGTTATTACTGAAATAGTAGTCTAGGAGATAAATAACAATTATTATTATAATACTTCTCCATTTTATAGAAAAGAGACAGAGGCTTAGGAGGATGAATTGGCTTGGAAACAAACAATCATAGAAATAACTATTAGAAGTAATATCTAATTTGGGAGCCAAATTATATATGACATAAACTAATATTGAAATAACTTTAATTTGGATATTTTATCACCATCTGTATAAAAACATTTTTTTGACAATGAGAGTTCAGTATTTATACACCTTGCTTCAAAATTTGTGATGATAGAAATATGATTTTTTTCTTGATTTATTTTGCCTATTAAGCAATTACTTCCAGTCTATTTGGCTTAAAAAATAGATAATATCTTCCAATCTCTGATTATTGATGCAATTTCTAGTCTTTTAAAAATGTTAAGAGAATGAACAGCAGCCTTTTTAATGTTCATATTGAACTACACTGGTTGTAAAATAGTGAAATTTATAGCCTAGCTGCATTATCCTATAAGCTATTTATCATGAAATTCCACTCCAATATTCTCTGAGATATGGAAATGGTTTAGAGCTTGTGGTGGGGAATGAGAATTATGTGTGACTTCCATCTGCACACCCCATCTTAACTAAGTGTTCACTATTTCTTCTCCAGTCATTGCTTTTGAGTTTGGTGAATTGGGTGGGAGAGGGAAAGATGAGTATAAGTAATCAAAATAGAAAAGGATCAGAGAAAAAATTTACGTCTACTCAGATGTGTATTAATTTCTAAAACCATACTTTTGCTTACTGCCCTTTACCTTAACCTGTAAAAGATAAAATAGTTAAAAATAAAGCTAAAAACATAACAATGATGAAAAAATGATCAGATGATCTTAATTTTGAGATAGGAACACTAGTTGTGAAATTGTGTCCTTGAGAGGCTGGAATTGTTAACACATGCTAGACATAATTTATTTATTCTCATTTCCTCCAGTCTCAAGAAATAAATGGTATGGAGCTTTCCAATATTTTGCAGAGACTATTGTTTTGTCCTCTCTTTATACTCATGTTCTTTGTTGAATGTGGATTAAGTGATGCTAGTGATCAGACAGTCCCTAGCTAGTAACTTCTCTAGTCATAGTAGGAGGAGGTGATATGGCCAAAGCAGTCCAAACCAGTGTACGCTGCCCTGGTGGGAGGAAAGGGAAAAGTACTCTGGTCTGGGGTACTTCCCTCTGCCCTGCACTGTCTTCCATGGTGGAACCTAATCCAAAAGAGGAAGCCATGAGCAACAGAACCTGGGAAATGAGCTTCTCTGTGATCCCATCCATGGCAGCAACCATGATAGCACCAAATGAGACTATAATTCAGCCAAACTATAGCTGGCCAGTAAGCTGAAATACAGACAAAGGATTGACATCCACAGGATCCAGTTAATCATGTTTCATTTGCAAGCTTCTACAGTCATATATTTTTATTGTGTCATTCTTCTTGGTGAATACGTGGTTTATTTACCTTGATTTCCTATGTGTTTAAAGATTAGTTTTATCTAAATGTCTCTTTATATTTGTAATCTCTACCTAAATAAAACAAAAAGAATTCAAAATATGAGAAAACATTAATACAGTGATAGATACATACATGTAAATCTTTAAAACAAATGCTTACATAAATGACACTGCTTCGTGTTTGACCTTTCTCATTGAAATACTTTAAAAATTGCATTTGGATTCATAATTAGGTAAAAAAAAATTGTCCTCTAAATTCATATTACTGTGCTGTGATTTAAAATTGTCTTTTGTCTTTCATATTTTTGCCTAACAACAGATTATCTAAAATCTTAGCTGGGAGCTTTTCTCATCTGGATTCATTAAAGAGACTGTGAGTGAAAAAATTGCATAAACACAAAAACCTTATGATTTCTTCCCAGAGAAGTAATTCCCAAACAGTGATTTGCCTTCCTCTCCTTTTGCTGTGAAAGATCATTGCAGTTCTAGTGTGTTAGGCAGAAAATGGCTTTGTTAACTGCAGAGTTATAAAGGACACAGATAGTCTACTGAGCTTTCATGTATTTTCAAACCAGTGACATTCAAAAGGAATATTAAAGATTGACGTTTTCCTTGGTTCTCAGGAATTTCCTTGCTGAACAAATCTAGACTCCCAAGACTTCTTTTTCCTTTAACTTTTATTAAAAAAGAAATGTGAGAACTTCCAAAGAAAGTCTAACTTCTCTGTCCGGACTTCAGAAGTTTCCCCTTATCACATACGTGGTTACCGGTACAGTTCATTTCCTTCTACATTAAATGAAACATAACTAATATTCCAATCCTGATCCTCTTAGAATCTCCACTGGCCTCACTTTTCTCTGTGTGAATCATTACTCTGATCTGTCTCTTCACCCTTGCCTGTGTGTAAACTTTTGCCTTGTTGATGTTTTTCTCTTTTGCTATTTTTTCCTTCAGTACGCACAGATATAAGTTACAGTTATCAGGTAACAGTCTAATGTCCTTCTGTCCAATGCTGGTTGAAGAGCACATTGCGGAAAAATCAGAAAAGTATATCTCTCATCTGTTCTTCATGCCACTTTGTTGTTGTTGCCTTTCTGAGGTTGTATGCCCAGATCCAGGTTTGTGAGTAAGGGAATATTAAGATTAAATAAAAATCAGAATATTGAGAGAAATAAATTTGTGTTCAGTCGGTGCCGGGAAATAACGTATGGTTTTTGCATTTAAGAGGTCATGAATAATCAAGAGGACAATTGATCCAGTTTTTGTTCATTTTTATTTTCAAGTTTATATTCTCTATTTTCTTGGCAATTCTCATAGCAGATACACATAATGTTACCTCACAGTCTTTTCTGGCTTTGCTCTTTGTGCTCAAACCCACAAAGTCCTTATTTAACTGTTCTTTTTATCTGCAATTTTTTTCCTACTTGTCAGAACTGGTCACATCACAGAAATTTGAAATAATACACACATCTATTCACTATTGTTTTTTTGTTGTTGTTCTAATAGACTTTTTTTTTTTTAAGAATACTTTTGGGTTCACAGGAAAATTCAATCTCAAGTGAGAGTCTTGTAGGCAGAATATAGATGGGTCTAATTTTTTAATCCATTCAGCCACCCTATGCCTCTTGATTGGAACCTTTTGTCCATTTACATTTTAAAATACTTATTGATAGGTGTATATTTATTGTCATTTTGTTAACTTTTTTGGTTGTTTTTGTAGTTCTCTGTTCCTTTTTTCCTCCCTCTCTTTCCTTTTGGTTTTCTGGTTTTCTTTATTGTTTTGTTTGGGTTCTTTTCTCTCTACCTTCTGCATATTTTTTGTAGTTATTTATTTATTTTTTTTTTTATTTTGTGGTTGCCATTAAGTAAATATAGATTTATCTATATCTATAGTAGTCTATTTTGAGCTAACAGGCATTTAAATTGAAATACTTTCGTAAAACAATACATGTTCACTCCTCTCTCCATACTTTGTGTTTTTGTTGTCATATATTTTTAACTTTTTTTTGTGTGTGTATTTTCTGATTATTTATTATAGTTATAGATAATTTTGCTACTTTTGTCTTTTAACCTTTCTGTTTGCTTTTTAAGTGGCTGATTCACTGTGTTAATTCTATATTTGCCTTTACCTGTGAAAATTTCGCTTTCCTATATTTTCTTATTTCTGGTTATGGAATTTTTTTCTGCATAAAGAAGACACATTTCTTGTAAAGACGGTTTAGTGGTGATGAACTCCTTTAGTTTTTTCTTGTCCGGGAATCTTTTTATCTCTCTTTGAATTCTGAATGATACCCTTGCCAGATATAACATTGTATACTGTAGATTTCTTTCTTTCAGCACTTTAAATATTTTCTGCCACTCTCTTCTGGCCTGTGAAGTTTCTGCTGAGAAGTCAGCTGATAGCCTTATGGGATTTCCCTTGTATATGACTTGTTTTCTTCTTGCTGCCTTCAATATTGTCTCTTTATCTTTAACTTTAGTCATTTTAATTAAAATATTTCTTGGTGTGGGCCTCTTTGGGTTCATCTTGTTTAGAACTCTCCGTGCTTCCTAGACCTGGATTTCTGTTTTGTTCCCTGGATTCGGAAAACTTCCGGTCCCTTTCTCTCTCTCTTCTCTTTCTGGAATCCCTATAATGAGAATGTTAGAGAGCTTGATGTCCCAGAGATCCCTTATACTATCTTTATTTATCTTAAATTATTTTTTTCATTGTGCTGCTCTGATTGAGTGATTTTCACTATCTGTCTTCCATGTCTCTAATCTGTTCTGTTTTAATCTGCTGTCCACTCCTTCTATTGTGTGCATGTAAGGCATGCCCTGATTGACTGCTGCAGAAACCAGGTTAGACCTAGACAGCCTGTGGTCATGAGCTCTGTAGTACTTGGACAAATCCCTCTCACTCTATATTTAAACTTTGGCATTTTAATTATGATGTGTCTCAGTGTAGGCTTATTTTGGTTCATCTTGTTGGGGACTCTCTGAGCATCCTGGGGTTATATGTCTATTTCTTTCACCAGGTTAGGGAAGATTTCCATCATCATTTCTTCAAACAGGTATTTAATTTCTTGCTCTCTCTTCTACTTCTAGTATCCTTATGATATGAATGTTGGTACACTTGATGTTGTCTCAGAGGCCCCTTAAAATATCCTCATAATTGTGGATTCTTTTTTCTTTTTGCTGTTCTGATTAGGTGTGTTCTGCTACCTTATCTTCCAAATTGCTGATTTGATATTCTGCTTCATCTAATCTATTGTTGTTTCCTTCTAATGTATTCTTTATTTCAGTTATCTAGTCTTCATTTCTGACTTTTTTTTGTTTTTTATCTTAATGTTTATATTTTTATCTTTTTTGTTGAAGTTCTCACTGAGATTATTGTGTATCCTTATAACCAGTGTTTTGAACTCTGCATCTGTTAAATTCCTTGTCTCCATTTTGTTTGGTTCTTTTTTGGATATTTGTTCCAAATATTAGGGATATATTTCTTTGTCTCCCTTTTTTGGATGCCTCCCTGTATTAGTTTCTATGTATTAGGTAGAATTGCTTTGCCTCCAGGTCTTAGTAGAGTGTCCTTACATAATAGATGTCCTGTGGTGCAGTGGTGCTGTCTTCCTGGTCACCTGATTCATGTGCTCCAGTTGTTTTTCCTTTGTGTGGGTTGTGTGTGCCATCCTGTTGTAGTTGAGCCTTGTTTTTTGCTTGCATGTCAGGCTTATTGGTTGTGACTACAGTGGAAGAGCTATTGTGCAAGGGCTGACTCTACAGAACAGATTTTGCTTTAACAGGGCTCCAGTGCCCTCCCAGGGTACCCCTTTGAATGTGCCATTTACAGAGGTGGTTATGTGGTACTCTGGTGTTGTCAAAAGCTGGCCACTGGTGTGTTGACTCTGGGACCTCTTGTAAGGGGCTATTATGCAGACCAAAGTCAGCCTCTGTTTTAGCCATGCCCAAGGCCACTTGGTATGAGCTACAAGGTGATCTGTAGATGATTACTATTTGTGCTGGGCTTAGATTTGCCTGGGAGAGGCTAAACTATGAACCAAGGCAGGCTGCTGCTAGTACTGGGCTTAAGGCTGCTTAGTAAGAGGTACAAGGCCAGATGCTGCTTGTTTTGGGTTTGCGAACCTTTAAGATAGTTTAAGTGTGCATCATGAGCCAATACAGGTTGTTTGTATAGAAAAATTACTAGAAGAGGCTTAGGTGGGCCCACAAGTTGGATGGGCAAGGTCTCAGGGAATCACCAGGGTGGGGCAGATAGTGTTAGCCAGCTTGATGGAGACACAAATATGGTGGCTGCCTAGGTCTGCACGCTGGGTTGGGGGAGGGTTCAACAAAGGAACAATGGCTTCTGCTACTACTTCTATCTGGGAGAAAGCTGTCCCTCCAGTCCTCACCCTAAATCCATACAATTCAGTTCTTCATATGTCTCTAGTGCTTTACAAGCTGCTCTCTCAGTGCTAGAGCTCAGGGCACATAAGTCTCCAGTAAGTCTGTGCATGGGCCCTTTAAGAGGAATACCTGTCACTCCAGCCACCCTTCATCTCACTCAGCCACAATCTTGGTTGGTTTTTACAGCCAGAAGTTGTGGGGACTTCTCTTCCCAGTACTGGAACCTTGGGCTGGGGAGTATGGTATGGGGCTGAAACCTCTCACTCCTCAGAGGGAACCTCCAAACCCAAAATAGTCCTCTCAATTCTCAACTGCCACACGTGGGCGTGAGACCAGCCCATTTTCATCTCTGCCCCTTCTATCAGTCTCCATGTGATTTCTTCAGTATATCCTCAGGTATAGAACTGTTTTAGCTAAACTTTAAGCAATTATCAATGATGATTGTTCCGTCATTTAGTTTTGATTTTAAGGTGGTCATGGGAAGAAGCAAGAACAGTATTTTACTTACTCTGCCATTTTGACTGGAAGTCTACTAGTTTGATGGAAGCATTAAGCAAATAAAATCTATACCATTAAGTAACTTTTTAACAAATATGACATTTTTTATTTTAACAATTTAATGCTGCTAAATATAGTTATTTAGTGTATTTTAGTGTAATTTAATTTAAATACAATATAACAATCTTATGAAATGAATACCTACAATATACTTCAGAAAATTATCAGGCAATAAATCTTTCTTAAATTTATTAAAAATATATAGTTTTCTGAAAATATTCTTAATTCTAAATCTGGAGAGGATAATGATATTTTTTACTTTCAGAAAAAAATATTACTCTCAGTAACTTGATATTGCTATTTATTTTTAATTTTATTAATTTCATTAAATTTAATTAATTTTATTAAATTGTTTTGTTAAATTCCTTTATTTGCTTGTTTTCCTAAATTAAAAAAATAATATAAGTTATCAAAAATTATAGCATTTTTAGTCTTCTAAAGTCACATACAGCATTATTTATTACAATAAAATTTAAACATAACCATCCTTCTTATAAATATATTTATATTATCCTCTTATCACTGGAGGGTTTTTTTTGTATGTGTTGAGTGTGACCTAACTATCGACAGAATTGTTAATTCTATTTAGCTAATGTCCCCTTTTAACCTTTGGGATGAATAAAAGAGAAAATTTATCATTTCTGTGCCTTTCAGCTACACATCTTTTGGCAAGAATGGAGGTATATACCATTCATCTCTTTCATTATCAATTTATTTCATGAGAAAAAAATGCTAGAAACGATTGTGGGAATATTGTAAAATTTAGCAAAATAAATAACATGTGCACTTGGATTAAGAAATAGCACAAAGAAATGTGTAAAGGGTATTTCCATTACACTGTACAAGAGACATCTCCAGATGTGGACCTTCGTAAAATGGCATCATTTCCAGTGATAACTAGGCCTTTGGAATAAGAAAAAAAAAAATTCTTACTCTATCTTTGAAAGCAAATTCAAAACACAGGGAACACATACTTATCCATATTGATGTCAAGGAGGTTATCATGATGACTTATAGCTTGTCATCTGCATTAGCTGAATGAATCATACACAAGCACATTTATAGGCTTCCTTCCAATAACAAAGCCTCTACATTTTCTTTTAAGTTATCTCTATAAAAATGTTTAAAAATTACCACCGAATATAAATTCTTTGTTTTTTTTTACACTTAAAAG